TAAGTATGTTTTAAGAGGTAAAACCGTTCGTAAAAACAATATTTTATTTTTTTTTGTTTGTTTGTTTGAATCATTTTGGGCATTTATATATGTATTCCAGGCCCGTAGCCAGCCTAGTGAAAGAGGTGGTTCTTTTTTCTCAAAATGTTTTCGCCTCATTTTCTATTTAATTATGAGATTTAATACTCCATTTTAGTAACATTTTAAGCATTATTTTTAGCTGTATTAGCTTGTCAGATGGTCGTCATAACCAAACTTTTTGATGTACCAAAACATTCCTAAAAGTTTAGATTAAAGAAATATAAAAATAAAAATTAAACATACATAATATTTTAATTAGGGAAAAAATAGGAATTTGTTCAATTTTAATTTAAAAACTGTAGTCTATTGTCATTTGTTAGGCAAATAACAAACTAGCCAGCACATTCAACTTTTCTCAGTCAGAATTTAGCCCTTTGAATAATAAAAACATAATAATAATAATAACAACAACAATAATAATAATAATAATAATAAATGTGGAAATGCACGACTTTTTTAGCCTCTCTTGTAAAAAAGTATGTTCGACAATTTATGTATAACAACAGTGTCCAAATTAGAATTCAAATTAATTTTAAAATGGGCCACTTTTGGTGCTTCACACTTTTTTATTGGTCATTTTTTGTTTCAAGAATAAGCTCCAAGATTTAGAGTAAAAGTTAATTTATACAATACAACAATACAGTAGGTCAGTAGCGAAAGATGACTTCACTTATGTCCGACTCTTATGTTTTTTTGCACAGTTATATGTTGGACTCATGAAAAATAATTGTTTCATTGGACAAAACGAATTAGCTGAAATCACACCTAAGCGACAGCCAACAGAGGATTCCGCTTGGTCTTGAAGAGTTTTTCAATGAGTTATTTTCACAATTTAGGGCAGCACAGGGGCACAGTGGGTAGCACAATCTCCTCACAGCAAGAAGGTCGCTTGTTCGAGCCCCGGCTGGGTCAGTTATCGTTTCTGTTTGGAGACACTACGGCTAAATTGTTCATTGTGTATGCATGTGTATGGATGTTGCCCAGTGATGGATTGCAGCTGGAAGGCCATCCACTGAGTAAAACATATGCTGTATAATTTGGCGGTTCATTCCGCTGTGGCGACCCCAGATTAATAAAGGGACTAATAAGCCGAAAAGAAAATTAATTAATGTATTTTCACAATGTTGGCATAGCAGTCAAAATAGGACAAATGTGCTGAAGTATTGGACAAATTTTGGACCTTTGTCAGTGAGTGGTGGGTCTTTCAAACCACCCGAGTTCACCCTGGCTATGGGCCTGTATTCAGTGCATTAAGATGTCAACAGCAAAATATATTGTTGAAAAAATCTAAACTATATTGAACCTTTTGCCCTTATCACACTGTTTTAGTACTGAATTGAATTGATAAACATGCACATGCATGCTTATTTCAGCATGAAATATTGAATATTTTCTCATCTGAAAGTGAAATAATGAAACAAACAGATTTTTTAATAAATTAGGCACAACTTTAGGCACATTCAAATCAACACTGAAATCGCATCTTTTTCTTTACTAAATTGAGCACTGTGCACCGACCGACAGATCACACTATTATGTCTTTTATCACATTTTTAAAAACACATTTTAATCTATTTTTTATTCATTTTTAATTCTTTAACTATTTTATTGTCTTGTTTCTTTTATTCTCGTTTATGTAAAGCATTTTGAATTAACATTGTGTATGAAATGTTCTATACATATAAACTTGTCTTGCCTAAATTGTGAGGGTTGACAGCTGGCCCAGTCACCTGATGTTGTTCCAAATTTAAGAAAGCTGAAGCTAAATGTTTACATACAAATTTTTAATTTCTATACATAAAAAGAAAATGGTAACTGAGGCTGTCATTCTGCCCAGCATCCATTCTTCATTTTCCGGCGCAGTGGCCCTTTAAATTTCATCTTTTTATGTAAACACGGATGACGCAAATCAGCAGCACAGCCTTTCAACTCAAACGCAGGAAGAACAGACATTCACGTTGCGTTAAAATGTTTGAAGTTAATAATAAAACAAATCTTTTTACAAGCTCCAACACACAACCGAGGCGCATAATAACACACAACAATCGAGCCGCCATCTGATTGGTCAGCTGCGCTGCGTCATCATATTATAGGATCCTCGCTCCTCTTGGCTCTGATCATTGTAATGTCCATAACAAGATGTACTTTTTGATTTTTCACACCGCATTTTCAGCATACATAGCCATAATTGAGTAGACAAAATATATATGTTATAACAATAATAATAACATGCGTTAAAGTCATTTTAGAAGCTCACAATCATACCATCCATATAACATGGTGTCAGGATTCATTTTAATTAGCCTACTTACATCACATGCAGAAATAAAGCTATTCTAGATTATGATTGGTTTAGAATTGTATGTTTTTTTAACATGTCGTTTACCTCTTTACACTGTGGCAGGTTTCCTGAGGCTCGTGCGCAGAGAAAAAGCGTTACAAAGCGCACAAAATAACAGGATGACCAAAGCGCCCTCTTCTCCATCTCATAAAGGCAGGAGTCCGAGGAAAACGAGAGATGCCAGGGATCCGAGTGCAGACAACGGGGTTTTTTCGACGCCTATGCATAAACTACGGGCTGAAATGCGAACACGCTGCGCTCTCCTCAACGATAAGCTTCTACTGTAGTTGCGCTTATGGGGCTTTGATTGACAGCCAGCGTCTGACGTCACGCGCGTCTGGTCTGCCGCTCAACTCACACGGCATCTTTTATTTAGGCCAGGTTAACCTTTTTTGTTTACAAAAAGAAAATGAGATGAAGTGAATGAATGGTTGAAAGAAAGAATGAATGAATAATTGAATTAATTAATAATTAAATTAATAATTGAATAATTGAATGAATGATTAAATGAATAGTTGATTAAATGGATAAACAATGGGTGAATTAATGAATAAATAAATAAATTAACAATGGAATGAATGAATGAAAAACTGGATGAAATAATGGATAATTAAATCAATAATGGAATGAATAATTAATTGAATGAATGAACAGTTGAATTAATAGTAATTAATAAATTAATGACTAATTGAACAAATAGTTGATTAAATGAGTGAATGGAATTCACTTTTAATAATTGAATTAATATTTAAATTAATTAATAATTGAATGGATAATTGAATGAATGAATAATTAGATGAATTAGTGAATGATTGAATGAATTAATGGATAATTAAATTAATTAATAATGGAACGAATGAATAACTTAATGAGTAAACAGTTGAATTAATAGTTTTATGATGTAATGAATAGAAAAATTGTTGATTGGATTGGAATGGAATGAATTAATTAATAATTTGAATAAATGAAAGGAATAATGACTTAATGAATGAATAACTAAACAACTAATTGAATGAATGAAAAATGAAATGAATGAATAATTTAAATGAGAAATAATGGAGTGAATAAATGAATACTTTTATAATAATTTAATAATGGACTGTATTAGTGAACAATTTTTATGAATGAATAATTGAATGAATGGATAATTGAATTAACTAATAATGGAATTAATGAATGAATGAATAGTTGAATCAATAGTTTATTTAATTAATGAATAATTGAACGAATTAATGAATGAAAGAATAAAATTACATTATAATTGAATGAATGACTAATGGAATGAATAAATGAATAATTCAATGCATAATTGAAACAAGGAATGAAAGAAAGTATAATTGAAAGAAGGAATGAATGAAAGCTTGTAAAATTATATTAAATAGTTGATATCTAAAAATGGATACATTTATAAAGGCATAGTGTAAAAATACCTTTATGTTTTAAAAATAATTGACAAAATAGTTATAATACCAAAACATTGCTTTTTACCAACGTTATTTTAATTATGGATACATTTTTGGGGGGATAAAATCTGTACTTATGTCTCGTTTTACATTATAAATACACATAGGCTTCTCAGTTTCAGAGTAGATTTGGATTCACAAATGATAATAATCCACTAACTAATTAATTAACTGACAAATAGATGCATAAAAAGCTGAACACTCATACGCTGCTCTTTTATTATTTAAAATGACCGATAGAGAAAAACAAAATCATGTTTGGAGGTCACCAGAGATGCAGTGCACAATCAATAATTCAGTAATATTACACATTATACAACCGCATTTATTTATTCAGGATAGAAGCAAAACAAGACAGGAACAGGAAACAGACAGTAAGTATCAGTGCAATGATCTTCATGCACACAATCAAGGATCCTCCATCCTGATGCTAATTTATTTGTATTTGTTTATTGTACATTGTATTTTGCCTCATGTGGTAATGTTCTAGGTTAGAATTTATAGCTGCAAAGTTGCTCTAATTTATTTAGTTTTAAGTTGAAAAATGTATTTACTTAATTCAACTACTAAACAAACATATTTAATTACAAAAAAAGTAATAAAATACAAGATTTATATCACAATCAAGCGAAAAACATTGAACTAGCAGCTTATGAAGGTGATAATAATTCTCGGTTTTGTAAAATGATCTCCTCAAATAAATTAGAGGCATTTTTTTCCCAAAGTATCTTCTACATTTACATTTACTTTAATACCCTGTGCTAAAAAATATTTAAAATGTACACAAGACCTCCTTTGCTTTACTAGTAATGCAATAATTATGATGCATCTTTATAAAAGTAATATGCGTTTCCCCTTACTAAACACCAGATGGCGCTGTTGATCTTAAAGTGTTTCAGTCACGTAATTTAAATTATATTTACATAGCTTTAAACTCCACACACGAATATTGTAACATAAGCAGATGAGCTAAATATCCCATATGATGTAACGCAACTTGCTCTTTAAAAAAACAGACAAACGCTCGAGCAAAACAAAAACGGAAGCCACCAGTGGGCTTCTGTAGACACTTCCGCTCGGTATGCGAAGGGGAAGAAAAAAAGCGTATTTTCCTCCATCCTGGTATTTGCCTTCATCCTGGTCACTGCGAAGTCCCCGTACCCAAAACAGGAAGTAAGTACCAAAATCATAGCTAAATTTCACTTTCGCTCACCCCTGTGCGCTGGCCGTTTGTCTATTTATCCTGTACATTAAGACAACAAAGCACCGACATCGAATAAACGCCGTCGATTCCGCACGGCTTGTTGCACATAAACATGGCGTCTCATTATTCCTCGTCTGCTAAGATAAAATAACCAGAGAGTTAATTTAGATTATTGATATGCTCGGAAAGACGCATGGATTTGTTTTATTCTAATATTTTTAGGCTTTTGGACCTATTACGGCTATGTATTTGTGGGCTGAAGATTAACAGTAAACAAATAACGTTATTTCGATGGGTTATCATTTGCTATGTGTACTTGGCTGATGTCTATTTACTTGAAAATGTAATTAAATAAGCCCATTTGTTTTTCTTTTCATCTGTTTGAGTTTTTAAATTATGAAGGGTTTTATCATTTTTCTGTATTTTATTCACACTGCAGTTTAGCACATCTTTATAACAATACTGTGTATTAAAATATAGTATAATTAATTAGGGCTGCAGGAAAAATCTGACATTGGCATATTTTGTTTTTCTGCATTAAATATTGCGATAAATATATACATTATTCATGGTCCTTGAATAACTATTTGGAAAATTGAGGTAAATTTGGTTTTATATTTACACATTCGTTTATTTAGCAGTCTCTATTTGTATACATAGTTATGTTGGTTATATATTCACACATTCAGACTTCCTCCTTAATAATATAATTTCATAAAAGTATTATTTTCAAACTGTAAATAGCGAAATCATATTAGCAGCAAATGACTAAGCACAACAGTGTTCCCAGTCAAGTAAACAGTTAATGTTGTTTTCAAGCCACACTTGCATGCTAATTCCGATCGAATATTCAAAGTATCATGGTAAACAATATAGAGACTTCTAAATGAACGAATGTGCGAATATAAAACTAACTTTACCTATATTATTGTTTACCACGTTACTTTAAATATTCGATCAGAATTAGCATGCAATTATGACTTCCAAACAACATTACCACTAATTCACTGTGAACATTGCTGTATTTTAATGGTCATTTTCTGCTAATATAGTTTCCCTTTTTAGAATTTGCAAAGACTACTTTTCTAAAATTATTATTTCCATTTACAAAACCAACTTTACCTCTATATTTGGAAAATGTTCATTATGTCACATTGATTGCAATAGATTAATGCATAAAAATAATAAACAAATTACAAGCGATGTTGCTTTATGGTTTTGCCAAACAGTATTCAGGTAAAGAAATTGAAACAATCAAATGTTAAAAAACAAAACAAAACACTGCATCGTCTTTCATTGTATAAATAATAAAACGTATCTTTATTAATATTAGAACTTATACAATTTCTTGTGACTGAATGCTTGACACTTGAAATGTTTATACAGTCACAGGACTGAGAAACACAGGCAGACTTTCACCTTAAAAAAACCTATGGCTCCTGGTCAACTATAAACACAACTCAACATTGCAGAACCTGCGATGTGACTATTGCAGATGCGCACTTTGCAATATCGATGCTGAAACGATATATTGTGCAGCCCTAAGTACAACATCACTTATTGCAACAAGTCATTGTGATTATTGATTTGTCTAATTTGTAAACCCAGTACAAAATATGTGATATTTTTACATGGAAACATAATTAAAAAGACTCTTTAAAGTTGTGACTATAGCGTTTAAAATGTCAAAATATTTTCAACTTGAAGAAAATGCTAAATAACAAAGCCTTCTTCTATAATTACATGGTAATGCCATTTGTTTATGCTCTTAAATCTCCCTTATTTAAATAGCAGAATGTGACTAAAATTCAGATCATTCAGGTCATGCTATTAGATCATATAACCACAATCAATAATTATGGCAGGCCAATCATCTTTGTTTAATTAAAGTTTATATTACCTTAAATCTCTTGTGAATATATGGTGAAATATATATATAAATTAGTACTGGTTACAAGCAAACCGCCCGAATTGCATGAATTGTATTGTTAGTATAATGTTTGCATCAATATAATGTAGTGGAGGACATCACATATATACCATATAACTGCAGGTTAACTATGTTTATTTTTAATAACTTTACCTGTTAAAAGCAATTAGTTACCAGTTAATTAGTTAAAGTTATTAGTATCTAATAAGGTTAAAGTAACTAATAACCTTAAATTTTCAGAATTTAATTGTAATGCAATAATGTGCGTCTTTGGTAAAGCTGCTTTGAAACAATAATATTGTAAAAAGCACAATACAAATAAACCTGAATTGAGTTTAATTGAATACAATGTTTTACCCTGTAGGCTGAGCATGAACACAGGCGATGTCCCGGCCACTGTGACACTTGAATCCGTCAATTCTGTCACATTTACCCAGGACACTGATGGAAACATCATACTGCACTGTCCTCAAAATGGTAAAGCGTACCTCTCCGGTTGCAAATTACTACAACATTTGAGCACCATTTAATTGTGCTTCATTATCTAATAGTTGCATTATTGTTTGGTCATGTAGATGGGGAGGACCTGGGTTCAGACGAGACCACTGAACCGGTTCACAAACGAATACGATTGTCCAGTGAGGATGGAGAAGACCCTCAGGACTCTGCTTCGACTGAGTACTCTGTTGTCACCCTGCCAAGTGAGTATGATTATACATGTTAGTAACTAGTTTATAAAAGTTACATGTATATTATATGCAAATGTTGCCTCTTTTTAATTAATCAGTCAATCAGGTATTTAAAATTGCTGGTCAGGATGCTCAAAACTTTTTATTTAATTTTCATTGAATTAACAATTGTATTTCGACATAATGTAGTTAATATGATGTAATGTCATATAATATAATAGTATAATATAACATAATAATATGAATAAATAAATAAGCAAAGAAATAGACGTATCTTAAAATGTTTATTTATAATCTCATGGATTTAAATGTACATGTTTGTTTGTTTGTTTGTTTGTTTGTTTGTATAGTTTATTGTTTATCTCCTAAGAGGTGAATTTTTGTGGACAGTATATTCTGATACAGTAAAGAGTTAAAAAAAACACACACACACAAAAACATACATAGACATACACATTACAGATTATTGTTCGAAAGTCTATGTTATTTAAAACAAACATTTTTAAATAAATCACTTGCACTTTTTAAACTATTATTGTAAATCAGTTTATGATAGCTTGTTTTTATTAACTAGTTTTCCATTATTTTAGTTACAGATGGAGATGAAAGCTTCGAGGTGACAATGACTGCGACAGAGATGAGAGACGAGGAGCTGGAATCAGATGATCTTTCTGAAACAACAGTAAAAGCTCTTATGTTTCTGAATATATAACGCTTAGTTCTGACTTTTCAGTGCTTGCTTCATGTGGATCTAATATTTAATTTTATGAAAAAAAAATTATTAACTAAATAATTATCATTTAATTTATTACATGGTTACATTCATGTATTATTTACAGTGATATTATTTGTCTTCATTGTTATTATGTTGTTTATTAAATATGTAGCGTATTTAATTTATTTAAAAAGTTTGCTCATAGCAATATAAACTTACCAATTTTATGGATTGTTTATTTAGTAATGTATTATTTATTTGTTTGTTTATTTATTTATTTTATTTTTGCTTTTTTACCTTTTATTATAATTATTTGTTGTCATTATTTAGTATTTTATAAGTTTGCACAGTTTACCAGTACTATGGTAGTATCAAGATACTATTTCTCCAAAATACTGGCGGTGCCACTGTAGTTTGTAAAGGGTAGTATCATCATTAACTGTCTATCTATTAAATACATAATGTTGCATGTGAAAAAGTCACTAAAATGCCCACACGCTTGTGCAACAATGAACCATTTTATTTAAATAGTCTGTGGAACCCTTTAAGGTTGCAAAACTGTGTAGAATTTGTGCCTTTTATAGTAGCATTATGCACGTTTTCTGATGCTTCAGTTGGAACACACATCTGAATCAGTTCATTTCTGTTCTTGTCAATATGATTCTCACCTGATAAGACTAAAAAAAATAATAAATGAAAAAAACAAAAGAGCAACAGGAAACATTGAAATTGATTTTTAAATTATTTTTGACCACTTCATATAGCCTAATTTGATCTTTTTGTAACACATTTTATTTATTATTTTATCTTGATTTTAATGTATTTTTGTTGGTCAGTTATTTACAAAATAAACAACAAGACCCAATACATTTTAGATGAAGTGATATGCAAATACTTTTTCAAAAATAAGGAAATTATTCATTCAATTCAAGTTGGCCTATTATAACATATAAAATATAGTATTTAAAAAAAATTCTTTATTTCATAGATTTGAGTTATGAATTACAGTATTGCAATACTACTTGGTATCATGATACTTCAGCTAGTATTAGTATATTTCTTTATGTATTTATTATTTAAGCACCCCAGGATGTTTATTGTTATATTAAAGTTTTGCTGAATTATTGTTATTATTATTATTATGTTTTTTACTTTTATTATAAATATTTGTTGTTATTATTTTGTATTTTACATTAATTAGTATATTTTTATGTAGCTATTATTTAAGCACTTTTTTAAAGCATTTTATTTATTTTTAAGCATTATTTTTTATTTAAGCATTATTATTTATATTTATTTCTATATTAGAATGTTGACATTATTATTATTATTATTCGTTTATTATTATTATGATTAGTTTTATTATTATTATTATTTTTATTATTATTATTATGTTTTTAATTAGGGCTGCACAATATTGAAAAAAATCTAACATTGCAATATTTTTTTTTAATTCTGCTATATGTATAGCAATGTGAATACAATTTCACCAGATGGCTCTATTTGGAAAGAATTTATGATTTTAGATTGGGATGTTTCTGTAAGAGAGCCCATCTGCAAAAAATCGACAATCTACAACTATAGATATATTTAATAAAGAAAAAGAAACAAATAAAATAAAGTGTTTTATTTCTTCCCATGGAGTCTTAACACTATTCAAGTATACAATAACTGTTTAATCAGATGTAAAATAATACTGTGTTGTCTTCTTTGTTCAAACTGTTTAATAAAATTAATTATTAAAGTTACAAATGACAATTTCTTAGGCCTGAATGCTTTTCCATCCTCACACAGTCACATTCCTCAAAAAACACTTGCAGATTTATCAATTATAATCCAGACTCAACATTGCAGATCTTCCAATGTAACTATTGCGAATGCTCACATTGCGATATCGATGCTGAAAAGATATATTTTGCAGCCCTAATTGTACAAAATGTTGGTTGTCAACAGGGTAAGGATTCATCTGCACAGAAGAAAGGTGAAGATGTATCAGCTGTCAGTCAAGCTTGGTTCACCACAAAGGAGGATAAAGACACACTGGTCAATAAGGGTGAGTATTAAATAATCAGCATATTAAATTATATTTAGAAAATATTCAATATTCAGTATTTGATACACAACTCTCATTGCCCTAATATATGATAATGGCACAATCTGATAAAACCCAATATATTAAATTTACATCTGATAGTCAGGATATCTGTCATATATATCCTCAGGTCACAAATGGAAACAGGGTATGTGGTCAAAAGAAGAGATTGATCTCCTGATGACCAACATAGAGCTTTATCTTAAGGTGAGCATGCTTTATCACATTGCAGCGTCTTTCAGTGTCTTGCATTCCTCATTCTTCATCTGTCTGTTCATTTGAACTCAGAACCGAGGGATTCAAGACCCTGCGGAGATCATCTTCGAGATGTCCAAAGAGGAGAGAAAGGATTTTTACCGCAGTATAGCCTGTGGTTTGAACAGGCCGCTGTTTGCTGTATACAGACGTGTGTTGCGAATGTACGATAACCGCAACCACGTAGGCAAGTAAGGACGTAGCTGCTTTTGTTTGTTAGTTCAACAGATTTACACCCCATTTGGAAGTGTTTATGTTGCAAAAACTAAATCGTGTTGTGTTGCTTTTTTGTCGTTTAGATACACTGATGAGGAGATCAAAAAACTGAAAGAGTAAGTTTAGTTTTAGTTCTGAATGGCGTTGAAATGTGATCTGAATTTGTGTGAGTCTGCATTGACTAAACTTGTGTGTGTTATTAGACTAAGGCAGAAACATGGAAATGACTGGGCCACCATTGGGTCAGCTCTTGGCCGCAGCGCATCGTCTGTAAAGGATCGCTGCAGACTCATGAAAGACACATGCAACACCGGTCAGCTTTGCTACTCTTTTGATTTATTATCATTTTATTACACTTGTGTACAGTAGTCAACATTTGAAGTGGATCAAAGATTTATTTTCCGAATCATTCTAAGACAGAATGGGTGTTGTTTACTAGTTTTAGGACAGCTTAGAAACACTTTTGATGACACTGAAGAAAAGCTTTCATTAGATGATGAAAAGATTGAAGGTGATGTACTGAAATAATTAAAACTAGAGACATATTTAAGTTATTTATTAAAAATATTCATACTAATCATTGAAATCAGGAGTGCAGTTTATTGAAAGTTTAGTTGCAAGCCTGCTTCAGTGCACCTACCTGTAGGTTTGAAACAAGCCTGAATGACTTAATTCGTTTGATCAGGTGTGTTTAATTAGGCTTAAAGCTAAACTATGCAGAGCTCTGGAAGTTTTTGTGCTTTAGATCTAATGGTTTAATAATTAAAGTGTTTTAAAAATATATTTTTAAATAATTTTTTCAATTATACTACTCATTTATATTATACAAAATGTTTATTTATAAATTTTACATACATAAGTATATACAAGTTATATCTAAATATATCTTTAATATATCTTTTTTAAAACCATAACATGTCTTCAGGCCTTTTTGTGCTACACACCACTCTATTAGTTTTCGTTTGATTCTCTTGTTTATTATACAGCTAATTTAACAACAAAAAAATCTCATTCATACTGACGAACAAAAATAAACACCAAATATTTATGTTAACTAAATAAAATACACTAAAATGGCTACAACAACTCGAGTGAAACATTTTGCTTTGTTTTAAAAAAAATGCACTTCTATTTCTGTTTTAAAGGTATGTTATCAATCATCCTCCAACCTCCTCCTATCTCTTTATTTAATATTATTTATTAAATATGTTATAATTACTTTTTATTTCCTCATTTTTTTGTTTACTATTGGTATTATTATTAAGTTATGCTATTTATCATTATCATATACTTTTTTATTAATAATATTTTATTATTATATCATTTTGTCGTATTATAAATGTTTAAAAGGAAGAAGTGGAAAGTATTTTACTCTGTCTGTTATGTCAAGCATTTATGTTGTTTTAACTCAATAAAAAGTATGTTTTGATCTTAAACCTGTGCGTTTCAGGGAAGTGGACGGAGGAGGAGGAGAGGCGATTGGCAGAGGTGGTGCACGAGTTGACGGGCACAGAGGCGGGTGATGTTGTAACTCAGGGAGTCTCCTGGGCGTCAGTGGCTGAACTTGTCGGCACTCGCTCAGAGAAACAGTGCCGCTCTAAATGGCTCAACTACCTGAACTGGAAACAGAGCGGAGGCACAGAGTGGACCAAAGAAGATGACATCAACCTTGTTCGCAGGTAAAGATGCTGGATTTTGGATGATAAAAAGAGTTCAGAGGCAAAACCTGTAAGCGCCATCCAAAATTATCTCCTGAAATGAGCATTTTTCTGAGGTGTTTTCTCCTGTGTATAGGTTCAGTGTTTTCACTTTTATGAGTGACAAACAATATTTTCATCACTTTTAAAGTGAGATAAATAAACGTAAACATATGGGGCCAGGAAAAATGCTCATTTTTAAAGAAAGTTTCAGATGGAACTCACAGACTTTGCATCTAAACTCTTCATTTATATATAAGAAATATTTTTTCAACCCTTTTTGTCTGATAGCCAATGCTTAAATCCATATTTGTCAGTGTCATTAAGCTGTAGCTTTTGTCCCTTAAATCAAATCAGCCCTGTGATTTTATAACACCAATTAAGTCTTTATCGCTAAACAGAATTAGCTTAATTTGTTCTATATTACTTAAACATTTATTCATTTAATAGATTAACGAGCATAACAGTGTCTTTTTTTCATATGGTGCCAATGCCTGTATTTAAATTTACATTTTAAGCAATTATCGGCCGATTTTTGCGGGTAATTTACAGCTTTATAACTGTAACTGATTAATTTTGATTTATTAATCATAACTGTATATGATCAGGATAGCAGAGCTGGAAGTGGAGGATGAAAATGAGATCAACTGGGATATTCTGGCTAGTGGATGGAGCAGCGTTCGCTCGCCCCAGTGGCTGCGGAGCAAATGGTGGACCATCAAAAGACAAGTGGCCAATCACAAGGAACTTCCCTTTCCTGGTGAGACCTCATAGGTGAGCATGCGTTCAGTGTGCTGTGAGTGCAGATGCTGAAGTAAGTTTTCTGTGTGTTTAGTGTTGCTGAAAGGGCTGCAGGATGTTGTGGAGGCACCGCCGTCTACCATGAACAAGGTGGTGGTGGTCGGTTCAAGATCTGCTAATGCTTCGCCCAGTCCTGTCACCGCTCTGCAGATCCCGGTCCAGATCCCAGTGCAGATCACACACGTCTGTGAGTGTATATATATATATAAAAGGAGCTTTTGTGACTGTTGTTTCAGTGGATAGCTTCAATAATCTTGAAGTTTTATCAATTTAATTGTAATAAATTTATCTAATAAGCAAACAGTTATTTTAAAGTGGAATTTAGTGGAATATGAAAATAAATATTTAATTAAATGATTTATTTTACCAATTCTAGTTTTTTTTGTAAATAAAATGTTAAATGAGCAACTTTTTCGATTTATTATTAATTATATTATGTAAAATAGTGTAAATCTTTAGAGTTGTCATACATAAATCTGACATATGGCCATATATGAACATTAAATTTCTGAATGGGTGGAAAGATCAGTACTAGATGATTTATGATGGTTATGTAAGTTTAATAGATGCAGTTTGTCTCTTTAATTGCACTTTTCCTCTTTCTACAGCTTCTTCAGATGGTTCGAGTGGTACTTCAGACAGTGAAACGATCACATTGAACTCCGGAGCTTTACAGACCTTTGAATTACTGCCTGTGAGAAACATATAATCATATAGGAACATATAAAAGCTAAACCTTTTTTTTATGGTTATAGGCTATTTTTTATTAATGATGTGTCATTTCCTCCCTAGTCATTTCACCTGCAGCCCACCGGCACCCCTGGAACATATTTCCTCCAAACAGGAACCAATCAGAGCCTGCCACTCACGCTGTCAGCCAATCCCACAGTCACGCTCACAGCTGCCGCTTCACCATCTTCACCAGACCAAATCATCCTACACAGCCTCACGGTGAGAACTGAGCATTTAAGTTATTATAATGCTAACGTTAATAACTGTGAAAATAACATGAATATGATAACATGAAAATGAAAATGTTAAAAAACATTCACATAAACATTCAAAAAAATATGTACATTATTAATTACTTTTTAATTAATTATTAATACTTTACAAAAGATTAAAGTAAAATTGTTTTAAAAATATCTTAAGATGCATCATTGATGTTATATATTATGGAGTTTGTTTATATTCATTTTATTTAGTTATATTCATTCATTTATTTTCTTTTCAGCTTAGTCCCTTTATTAAATAGGGGTTGCCACAGCAGAATGAACCGCCAAATTATCCACCACATGTTTTACGCAGCGGATGCCCTTCCAGCTGCAACCCAACCCAAAGAGGGTATATGCCGAAGTATGCTAATAGGACTTTTAATTTGCCAGTAACCTGGGTCAAATGGTTCCGGTGAGCTGTATGCAATTGCAAAATCGCCGCATTTAAGGTCTGTTTTCTTTAAAAATCAGCAATCTCCACTGGCTGAGTGATATCCTATATAAAGTGGGTCTCAGATTGTACAAGAAGCATTGCATTACATTACATTTTCCCCGCCATGTATTTATAGTATGAGCATTTATTTTACCCCAGTATATTCAATGGAGCTTCTGTGCTAGCCTGCCGATTCTTACGGGCGCGTGCGAGTACACGGCTTTTTGTCTTGTTTTACACTTGAGCAACTAAATGGATGCCAAAGTCTGCTTAACTGATTGCATTTTAATTACATTACAACATCGATGCTGTAAAAGGAATCATATAAAACGGTAAAATACTCACAATAACAGGTCACTGGAAGTTTATCAGTATGGAAACAACACTAGCTCGGCATATACCCTATTATTTATATTATTATATAATTTAGTAATTTTTTTGTGCTGGGCAAAAATTGACACATTCAAAATAAAGCTTTGCTTTGACACAATATATGTGTGTGTCTATTAAATGCAGTATATTTTTTATGTGTATGTGATACACACATACATAGAAACAAACAGCACAAAGCGATTTCGTTACATAGATATATAGATATTTAAATGTATATATCATTTGTATTATATACATACATATTTTATAACTAAATATAAATAAACATTTTCCCAAATATATGCATGCATGTGTGTGTTCATATATAGATAATAAATATACACAGCACACACACCTAAATTATGTCAAGACAAACTTGATGTGACTAATCGTGATAGATTTTTGCCCAGCACTAGTCATTCTCTGCGCACTGTTGTCAGTTTTAAGATGAAAAATATTAATATTGTTCATTCATTTTTCTTATTTTCAACTTAAGTGCAACTAAATGAAAATGGAAAACATTTTTTTGGCAACTATTATATGTATAGAAAGAAATATTCAGACTGAAAATATATATTTGATGTAAACTTTCAAATGACAAATACTACAATAGGGGAAGATAAGAGGAAAGGAATTTCTAAATTAATAAAGCTGTAACCAATAATCAGATTTTAATTATTGATGATAGTAATTGTGAAACAAACATAACCACTATTTATACACTCGTTTATTTAACAGCATACTTTACATGCCAATTTGCACATAACAGCTGCATAAATAACATTAAGGCAATATGTTTGTAGATACACATGTCATTTTGTGTATTTGCATTCACTATTTACTTATTTTTTATTCATTTATATAGTCATTCTGTTGCACTGTAGAAGTTTCTGTCACGAAAACAAATTCCTCATTGTTTTTGAAGTGTAGTAGAGTACTTTAGTAATTAAGTAATAAGGAATAATAGAGTACTAAAGTAATTTAGTTTTACGTTTTTATTGAATATGGTTTTTGTATACTATATAATATTTTCTATTAACAGAAATAGTCTACCGTTTACCTATAGTAATCTTGGATCATACTAAAAATAATAATAATTGAAGAAAAGTTATCACACAACCTGTAAGTCTCTCTCTCTCCCTCCATTTTCTCCATCAGACTGACACAGAGAATGTGACCGTTCAGATGTCTCACCCCGGCATCATCATCCAGACAGTGACATCAGAGGACCTGGCAGACCCTCTTGGCCAATCAGAGCTTGAGGGAGAGCAGGTGCTGGTGAAGGAGGAGCCTTCAGAAAACCAAACCAACCCTGCAATAGAGGAGCCCAGTGAGGAGCAGTCAAAACAAGGAGAAAAGGTAGCAAACACAATCCAAAAACACCTGCTCTCATATCTCCTTCCTGCTCATGAAACACTCTTTTTTTTTTGTTTCAGACTCTGGACTCTTCTAAAGTCGTGGAGACTGTGCTCATGGTCCCGTCTCCAGGTAGCTTTATTCCCACTAACGAGGACATCGGCAGCGATTCGGTCCTGCCTCTTGGAACACTGACAGGTAAGGCTGTTATAGGCTGTCATAAGTGGTGTTTATCCATTTATTTGGTAGCATTTTACAATAAGCTTGTATTTTAGGGCTGCACTATATTGGAAAAATACAACATTGCAATATTTCGCAATATATATATTGCAATGCAAATACAATTTCACCAGATGAATTTGAATGGCTCTATTTTAAACAATTAATATTTGATTGATTTGTATGATTTTGTAGGGGAACAAATAATGCATGACATGTTAAAAACAAAGTACAAGCATAGTTAACCATGACAATAAGAGCAAATATAAAAGGGAAATAGACTGTGCAGGTGCAGAAATTGAAAAATCAAACATAAAATAAAACCACAAAGACTTACTTACTGTTTAAATAGTTCAATGAAATTATTTTCTGTTAATTGAGCACTTAAATACCTGCACATGATAAACTTTTACTCTATTATGGTTGACCTCTGCAGTAACTCCACAAAGTTCCTCTCCTCATTGTTACAAATAATAAATGTGGAGGTTCAGATTAATACGGTGTCACTACTATAATATGAAGGCTCAGTGACATGGAATCGTCTTGTACGGGGCGAGGCACTTTGGGATGGGTTATTAAAGAGCAATTGATTGGTCAGAAGTTTGCATATAAATAAATAGTCATAAATGGTTGATTCTTGTTGGTGGGATTTTTAAATGTCTTCTAAATGCAAATTTAATCAGTTTTGGAGATGATAACCTTTAAAGGGACTTCTGTAACTGTTGCCTCTCATAATATTTGTTTTTGCTACTTTACTATTTATTTATTTATTTGTTTATTTATTTGTTTTTTTAACACAAAAGATGCTTTGAAAAATGTTAAAAACCTGTAACTATTGACTCTCATAGTATTTGTTTTTCCTACTTTACTATTTATTTATTTATTTGTTTATTTGTTTGTTTATTTATTTTTTGAACACAAAAGAAGATGCTTTGAAAAATGTTGGAAACCTGTAACTATTGACTCTCATGGTATTTGTTTTTCCCTACTTTCCTATTTGTTTATTTATTTCTTGAACACAAAAGAAGATGCTTTGAAAATGTTAAAAACCTGTAACTATTGACTCTCATAGTATTTGTTTTTTTTTTCTATCAATGGTTATTGTTTTCTGACATTTTTTAAAATATCTTCTTTAGTTTTAACTGCAACTCTTTAAAAACTCTTTAAAACTGCTCGACGATGAGTAAATACAGTGTAGATTTACGTTTTTTTGGTTGAACTCTCTTTAAATCTAACGTATTGAAACGAACACCTAATAAACTGTCCTTTTAGGACATTTTTACCTGTATTTGTGAAGCTATTTAATTAACTAACATGTTGTGAAACCCATCTGTCTATTTGTATTCCCATGCAGATCCCATTCTGGAGAACCAGGAAGACGGATCAAACTGATCCTGGAGCAACATTGTAACCCAGACAGAAATTCAACACAACAGCAACACGAGACACTGACTTTAGAGAACCCGTTCCCTTATACAGGGACAAATGCAGCATGCAGGATCATCCAGTCATCATGTGTGCGCACATGCCAACACTTTCTCAGTATTTATTATTAATCATGCAAGTTTCTGAGCCTCTCAGTGCAGATGAAAGGGATAGTTCACACAAAAAGCAAACATTTACTCCCCATTTACTCACCCTGATTTGGTTTTAAACCTTTATGAGTTCCTTCTTTCTGTTGAACACAAAAGAAGACGTTTTGAAGAAAGTTGTAAACCGGTAACTATTGACTTCAATAATATATATATACATATTTTGAATGAACTATCCCTTTAAATACTCTAATGAAGCAACACTTGCTTTTATATGGTGTATTAAAATGATGTAATACGTTAATGTTGTTTTTTTGTGTGTATATATATATCTTGTTTTGAATAGTTTTTGTAGCCTATGTTTCTGCTTAACAGTAATACTTGATAAAGCCACACAAAGCTGCACTGTTCTGACTTTACAGAGGTTGTACAACAATATTTGCATCATTCCATAATGTCCATTAGACTAGATGGCCATGATTTATCAAATGGTTTGAATATATTAACCTAACCTGTATATTAGCGCCTCGGTGTTTATTTATTGAATAAACAAAATGTCACCACTGACATGTCAGTGCTGTTTACTCATTATGGGATGATATCTTGTTGTGAATGAATAGGCTGATCAATTAAATGGAGTGCATTAGATTAACAAACAGGACAGCCATTTTTGCATTAACAAGACCTTTTTTTAGACATTTTTATTAAGGTTTTATTTATTTTTGGTTTAATTTTAGTTTATTAATGGTTTAATAAATATATTCTATTACTTATTTTAGTACAATTAAGTTAAATGAATGAAGAAAATATATAGTTCCATGCCACCATAGCTGAAATGAATTTATTATTATTATTTTTATTCTTATTTTGCTTAATGTGACTGTATATTTTAATTAACAAAGTGGTTTCAGATAAGTCTTAGGTGTAAAAATGGGTTTAGCAAACTATAATGAACTGCTATAAATGTGATTTTATAATTGATAATTGAAGGACTTAATTGCTAAGTCTATTTTACTGTTGTATTTTATTTGAGGAGGTCTAAAATTTAAATTTTTAAGCAAAATTAAAAATTATTTAATTAAATTCAGGATAAAAATTTGAATATTTATTTAATTAATTGGCTGGTCAATTCAGTCTTCTAACTTGTAAGTTTATGTTTGATATTATTCATTTATGATTTATTAATTTATTATTTTTTTATAAGTCGCTCATACACAAACTGGCCACAAGAGGGAGCTGATAATCCATAAACAATAAATAGTAAATAAACAGACGATGAGTATATGAGTGTGCAGATATTAAAGAATAAATATGAAAATAAACTGAAAATCTTTTTTTAAAAGTTTATATGTAATTTTATTTATTATTATTATTGTTTTGTTTTTTATTTATTTGCTCATACACGAACTGGCCACAAGAGGGAGCTGATAAACCATAAACATTAAATAGATGATGAGTATGCAGATATTAAAAAAGCCTACATTTTCAGGACAGGTCATTAAATAAAGTGAAAAATCTTTTTTATTTGTAAGTTTATGTTTAATTTTATTTATTCATGCTTTATTGTTGTTTTTATTTATTTGAATGTACACAAATAGGCTACAAGAGGGAGCTGATAATCCATAAACAATAACTAGGGAGTAAATAAATGATGAGGATGCAGATATTAAAAAAAACAATGTTCTGGACAGAAGTCATTAAATAAAGTGAAAAATCCTCTCTTTTATTTGTAAGTTTGTGTTTAATTTTATTTATGCCTTATTATTGTTTTTATTTATATGCTTTTACACAAATTGGCCACAAGAGGGAGCTGATAATCCATAAACAACTAGTAAATAGATGATGAGGATGCAGATATCAAAAAAACCTATATGTTTTGAACAGAAGTCATTGAATAAACTGAAAAATCTTCTCTTTATTTGGTGAGTTTGTGTTTAATTTTATTAATGCTTCATTATAGTTTTATTTTTTATACAATTTGCTCATGCACGAATTGGCCACAAGAGGGAGCTGATATCCCATAAACAATAAATAGATGATGAGTAAATGAGTATGCAGATATAAGCCTATATTTTTTGGAAAGAAGTCAGTGAATAAACTGAAATATATTTTCTTTTTTAACACTACAACGACAGGCTTAAATACAAAACTCGTCTCGTATGGTTGAAGCGAAAGCGCAGTTCTACATCCAGTCCACCAGGCGGCGCGAGCGACTCCACGTTCAGTCTGACTCTCAGCTTCAGGTGTTTGTTTGACAACAACAAGAGTGTGTTGACAGCCGGCAAAACAAAACACGTGCAGTTTGTTTTAAACACATAATTTACAGATGACAGCTCAGCGACAGACTTTTAATGTGTTTAAACAGCACATATTAAAGCTCAGCAGCAAATTAAAGCTGCAGACTCTGTGATAAAGTGCAGGAATCAAGTGAAGAGATTCACCTGTAAGTATCATCTCATATAAAGTACTTTATTTGCTTGTAAAATGACTGACACGAGCTATATAACAGTATTTAGGTTTTATAAAAGTCATTGATATTTATTGTGTCTGGTGTTATTACAGCAGGATTTGTCTGTCAGTTGTTTTAGATGGATGTTGTGATGAATATTTACATTTTTCTGCTAATATCACTTTCAGACTTTATATTTAGTGTTAAACGAATAGCATTGAGCTGTTTATAATATAAAGGAACTTAAATCTGCACTTATGCTTGTTTAAAAAAGTCATTTAGTGAGCTTTGTTGAGCTGCAGTGTTCAGTATTGTACCTGTCCAATATACAGTGTGTCTTATCTTCTGTTTATGAGCTCTTATGCTGGTGAAGTTCTCAGTTCTGCTGTTTCAGATGTATTTCAGTAGTAAAGTGTTTATTTCTGTTTCCTCTACAGGATGAAGGATGTGTTTGGAGTGAACAGAAGCAGAGCTCTGGGACATTTGGACAGCCGTGGACTGTAATGGTGGACTTCTGCTGATGGACAGGTGAGACTCGTATCTTGTGTTTGAGTTTTGGTGTGTCGGTTATCATCATTTTCTTTCTGGAGGGTCGTCCCTCTGGAAAGGAAATGATGGTAACCGAAACGGGAGAAGAAGGGACAGGGTCCCAAATTTTTATACAGCTAATTTTAATTTTGTAGTGAAAAGCAGCATAACCCCTGCTGTACATGGCCCCGTAGGTCAGGGGGGGACCCGACCCATCCCCCCCCTTCTTTCACACTGACATTCACACATATCGCAGTGATCTGGCTGGGGTTGAACCAGCAACCTCTTAACCCATGAGGCATTGCTCTACCACTGAGCCACAGTCACATACCTAATGACATGCTGGAACTTATATTTGACTGTTCAAGTGCACATCAAAACATGTAAAGCTTGAGTGAGGATTGAACCCAGCTTTCTTTGATGTGAGCATAGTGCTCTACCACTGAGCCACAGATCTCATTGTAAGGTACATGCTGGAACTTATATTTGACTATTATTTCACCACCTGTTGTGCAATAAAGTGAGCACAGCTGGGCTTTGAACCCAATTTTTCATGACAGCCTAAGCTATGGAGAACATGTGTTCAGTCAGGAGCGCCACTGCAACTCTCACGCTTGTATGTGGAGTTTAGCAGAGTTTGTCAGATATAATGACACTTGTTTAATATGTGCAATAGTAGGACTTGAACTCCAAACCTCTTAGTAATAACGCATTGCTCTAACCACTGAGCCACAGCTCTTTTGGTTGAACACCTGCTGGAGCTTATATTTCACCCTGATTTTACAACAAACCTGTTAAAAAAATGAACATGCTGGAGTGGGATTTGAACCCGTGACTCTATCAACTAAGAACAGATGTTTAACCACATGCACCACTGTGAATTCACATTTAAAGCTGGTATTTTTGACACTTTGTTTGATGTTAGTACATCTGTTAATCACAATCAAAAATGGGATTTGAACCCATAATGCTTTCAGCACTGAAGAGGCGATTAACCACATGCACCACTGGGACTTTCGCACTGCATACTGGTGTTTTAGGATACTTTGTTGCAATTATTTATGTCTATTCATCACATTTAAAATAGGGATTTGAACCCACAACTTTAGCAAAGGCAAACATGCATTCAACCACATGCACCACTGTGACTTTCATACTGAAAGCTAGAGTTTTGGACACTTTGTTTGATTTAATTACATCTATTTATTACAATCAAAAGAGGGAGTTGAACTGCAGCCTTTAGCTCAGAGGGTGCAGCTGATTATCCACTACACCACAAAGCAAGCGAGGTTTACATAAGACTTTTTCGTGTATTCATTCTTTGATTGAAGTATTTCAATTGCACAAGTATTTTTAGACTATTTAAAAATGTCACATGCAAACGTAATGAATCAAACACAATACTGAACTGAATAAAGAGTATCAAATGCACAATATTTCCACATCATTTCTAAATATCATTCATTTATTTGAGTTTTTTATATAGAAATAACAGGGTCACATTTGCCTTTTAGCTTCTCATTATCTGAAAGTGCTTATGTGTTTTAATCAGGTTGGAGGTTAACTCTGGAAAGTGGATCTTCAGGATCAGGATTAAACAACTGCTTTAGAAAAAAAGTCTGCATTTGTTCTTCAGTTTTCATGTGTTGATGCAGAACCACTCTTTGTCCACAAGATGGAGCTAAAACACTGCTCTGATCTCATGCGCCTCTAAATAAATCCGCCATTAAACACCAATAAATATTTAGTAGTCAACATATTAAATTAATTGATAAAAAATTTACATTTTAACCCAGATTTTATTTGTTCAGACATGCTGTATGCACAGTCAAAATCGTCTATAAATGCTGCTTGCATTTGCTAACAGTGATATAAAAACTAAATAAATATTTACAATAAGTCAACATCACTTAAAAAAAGAAGCAAAATAAATAAAGTTGACACAGAGACAGACTAAAAGAGTCTCCTGTTTTGTGTTTACACTTGAGGCTTGTGTCATTTAGCATTATCTTACCACGTCAGGTTCAGATCCTGAATTAATCATGGATTAGTTTGCATATGAAAATGAACCCCTATGCTATTTACTTACGACTTATATTAAATTAAGTTACACGGACGCATTTAAAGTCATTTTGATATGTTAAGTCTGACACATTTGAGCAGCACAGTAATGCTAGCAGACTGAAGGACTACACAGAAGCGGACATGCCGTTCTACATCCGCTCCACCAGGCGGCGCGAGCGACTCCACGTTCAGTCTGACTCTCAGCTTCAGGTGTTTGTTTGACAACAACAAGCGTGTGTTGACAGCCGGAAAAACAAAACACGTGCAGTTTGTTTTAAACACATAATTTACTGATGACAGCTCAGCGAGAGACTCTTAATGTGTTTAAACAGCACATATTAAAGCTCAGCAGCAAATTAAAGCAGCAGACTCTGTGATAAAGTGCAGGAATCAAGTGAAGAGATTCACCTGTAAGTATCATCTCATATAAAGAACTTTATTTGCATGTAAAATGACTGACACGAGCTATATAACAGTATTTAGGTTTTATAAAAGTCATTGATATTTATTGTGTCTGGTGTTATTA